CTCAGGGGCCTCCAACCGGGGGTTGGGCATGGCGGACATGGCCTGACTTGGCGGAGTGTTGCAACTTGGGATATGGGCCATTGGATGGGGTGTTCAATGGAGATCCATATGTTGTGTAGAGTAGTCCAGTATTTAATTAGTCCATACAGTTGGACGACTGTTTGTTCTTGGTCTTGGGAGGCTTAAATCGATTTGGACACCTGTTGGTGTCTCACATCATCCTTTGCATGAGAGGAAGAACGGACGGAAGCGGGATTCCACTTTCGGATCTTGGGCTCTACCAGGACACCAAGATCCGAAGGCTTTGGAAGGGGGTGCTTTACTTTTGTGAGGCTCTTGCCATCTTCATCTTCAGTTTGGGGCCCGGCATAGAGAAGATGAAACAAGTTATGAATTTGAGGCCGGATTCATTTTTTTATGAACTGAATGCATGAGGTTTGTGACCTGCTCATGCTGCTGCCACCCGTATGACTTAGGGTATATATGTTTCAGATACCCCAGAGGTCCCAACCGAAAACCTGTCTGTTCTTCTTTTGGGTCACAGCTTAGATGGCATGATGAGGTGGACAGTGGGTACATCATGTATCATGATGTATCCCAGAAGTACCGACTCGTCCCACACATGGTGACCGGATCAGGTGCTGTGATCCAGTTGTCCACCTTGCACTACGTTTGGTCCTTCACCAGTGCAAATCCGTGTCTTCGGCACCCGCGCCGTGTCTGAAAACTCCACACCGAAAGGGTCGGGAGGCCGATCCACCGAAATAGCCGCGGGACTCAGGTTCTGTTGGTTCTCTTTTCGTGACCACCACCACCTTGGGACGCATCACCAGGTTCTCAGATTTGATGTTTTTCTTTTTTTTGTGTGCCGTTGAGTGACCTACGAAGAAGGACCGGACCGATGACCTCTCCAAAGAAGTATGCAATCGAAGTGACATAGACACAGTACCTGAACTGCAAAGTAAGCTTGTGAGGTGTACACATTATGAACTACTGGTTGACTGGTCGCCACTATTCAGTATCGCAAAGGCAAGCGTCAAGACCAGCACCTCCTTACCCGTGAGGGTTCTGTCATTAACAGACATATGGCACTGAAGGTCATACTATGTCATACTCATAAATGTTCAATCAAACTATATCAAACTAAGGATTGGGCAGTTTGATGTGTTTGAGACATATGGGACCAAAGCTCACACTCATCTTAAATTGATTGAGTTCATTGGTCCCCCAGGCGGGTTTGCCACCCAATGCCACCCATAGCACCTACCTGTCCCTCCTGCCGTTTCGAACGCCGCTCACGCGGGAAGAAGCAGTCTTGGCTATTCCGTGGCATTGCTAGCATCGGCTTCAACACATTGAACCGGGAGAGCGGTGTTGAAATCATCCAAAACTCGCTTTAATCAGTTTTGATTTTTGGATAAAATGCCTTGATCTATCGAAATCCCTCTTCGATTGGGAGGCTTCACACACACACACACCTACATTGGTGTGATTTGGTATGTGTTGCTTTAAGTATAAAGTTATGTGCTTATCTTTCGCTTATCTTTCTGCGCACAACGAATCCGAACCTATCAGGATGAATTGTTTGGCACGACCCTGGGACTTCGATGCCTTTGGCCGCACGGTGATCTATGTGGATGTGCTGGCCTTGCTCACGTGGCTGTGCCTGGGCCACCGATCTCACCCATTGATAGGGCCAGGAGGAGGTCAGCGGTTTTCCCTATCCCAGACACTCCATGTATGCCATGTATTCCTACATTGACCACAAAACCACCCCAATGTAGGCATATATGGCATACATGGAGTGTCTGGGTATATTTAATGTATAGAATGCAGTGCAGGACTGGAGTCATCTTCAGTCCATCCAGCCTCTGAGCTGGGTCAACAGAGTGAGTTTCCGAGTGCTTTTGGGTCATTTTCATGTGCTCTTCGGCAAAGGAAAATGGCCGTCATGGCCGCCTGAAAATTGCCACCCAAAGCAAACCAGTTTGAATGAATCGGTGAAGATGGGAACGCCCGGTCCCAGACAGAATCCCCTGAATGCGGAGCTGGGCACCTGGATTGATAATGGTATCTTCCAAATCTTCAGAGTGGCAGCTCACAGCTGCAGAGCGGCTCTGATGCCCTACATGGCTGCTCCCCAAGTAGATCCAAACGGATCCAAACCTCTCATTTCGATGCCACCAGATTGAACCATCATATGCTTTATCCTTTCGGCAACGCCCCAGTCCCTCGTCCTGAGACCCCAGTCCGTCCCTGGAATCATCATGGTTACCTGGAACATGGCCCCTTGGACGAGCATGTTCCTTTACAAATAGGTGGTCTTCCACTTCGGACAAAGAAACATCGCCAGTGGCGTTCCCTGACTCAACAAGCTCTTCGGTCCGTGCCAGCTTGTCCCCACTCCTTCCAGGTATTCTTTGCGGCGCATCCCCAGCACTGGCACTTCTGATCCTTCCATCGTGGATCGCTTGTGGTCCATCATGCCATGGGCACCTGGGACTCCCTGGGACGGTGTAAGAAACGGGATGTGCCGCTGTGAGAATTCCATGCAGCTTTGTGTGGGGATTGGCACGTAACCCCTTTGGCCGACCTCCACTGGTTGGTGATTTCATGTCTTTTTTACTGTTCAACCCTATTTTGGAATGGCTACCTCAGTTGACTCATACTTTTGGGAAGGGTTTCAACCACCATCCAGAACACATGACCTTCGTCACACACATGACCACATGACCTTCGTCACTCTGTGGGTCTGGTGGCTCGCCACGTACTCCATGGCAGCATCCTTTCCTGACTGAATCGTATCAAGCCACGCGAGCTGGGTGGCCGGCATTTCCTATAGCGAGCTGCTCCTCCATGGACCACTGAACCTGAGAACCCACTGAACCTGCGAAAGGTGTTTGGACCGGACCAAGTGACTCGACGATGTAGACAGAGCCAGGCAAGCACCGCGTGAGATCATAAATTGCAGGTCCTCTCCCTTCAGCCTGCACATTACTCCCATCAAGGAATAGTACAGCTCATAACGGCCATGATGGGCCAACTGGTGTGTCCGAAGTTTGGGATGCGGTCGATGGGTCTTCGCGAAGAAGGCAGTCCTCGGAGTTGGGAAGAACGATTCTGACTCGGACTCGGTGAGAAGGAACTTGTTGGTCTTACGGTTGGGAGGTCATCCAGAGACACCGAGGCCTCCAGCCTTTAGCGTTTCTAATGTGACTTTTTTTTCTTCTCAAATGGCCTCCCAAACGAGGCCGCCCAGGCCCCACCACTCCAAACTGGGCCCCACCACTCCATAGGGTTGTTTAACTTGTTCGGACCCCCACCTACATGCCGGCATGCCGCAGAGCTTGCTTTTTGGTTTTCCAAGAGACCCTGCAGTGAAAAGGTCTATACTTGGCACTACTTCTTTGCCTCCTATTTCACAGATGGCCTTAATCCAAGGCGCTTTCTGTGAGCGGTTGGCTGGGTTCGGTGATAGTCTTGATGTCATCCTGCACTCCCTGACCTGCAAAAGAAGTCAAGTCTTTTGCACTTGCCCGCCAATATCCCAGAAGTGCATGTTTTTGTTTGTGTGTGTTGTTCTTTTGAATTTGCTCTCCAGTCCACATCCATTTCAACAACTCTTGTTGGGTCATGATATCCCACATATTTGGACACATTGACACTGATATTGCTTCAACTTAAGCATATGAACTGTGAACCTGAATCCGTCTATGCTGGAACTGATCCTCCATTTCTGCAGCTTGGCATGTACATGATGATAGTACTGTACTCCTTTATACTCCTATATTATATGTTCCTGCCAGCCACTTGTTAACTTGGTTTGCGTGTCCAACACTAAAGGGACGACTGGAATTGGAGATCATCATCGTCCATGAACAGCGGATGCGCTGTGATCATGCCAGGCTGCTGATCATGACGCTTCTGGCCACGCTGTGGGGTGTGAGGCCGTGTGGATGACGAACAAAGGCAAAAACACCTCCACAAGTAATTACAGCATACGGAACTTAAGGCCGCTCAAGTGTTGATTGCTTCTTGTATGAAAAGAAATAATAGAACAAGAGGTGCCATCAGAATCGTGGATCCACAGCCGCTTGGTGCAGTTGTTCAGAGCCTGTGTTGTTGCTTTCCTCTATCAAAGGTTAATGACCAAGGAGCCCGAGCCCCCACCTGCCCACAGGTGATGAAGGCAAACTCCCAGGAAGATGCAAAACATACCTTCGATATCCTTCCTTCAGCAAAGTCATGATCATGATACACGAAAAGCCTATGTAGATTACCCTAGGTCAATCTAAGTCATATTTCCCTGATGTCTTCACTGTCTTCACATGCTTTTTCCTTTGCAGGTTGACCTACAACTTCTACATCAAGGGTGGCTTCACTGGGGGGGGAGGACTATCGCTGGGCCGTGATCCGGAAGTGGTATCCGGGCTGGAGATGGGAAGTCTTCAACCTCATTTTTATTTGCCACTTGGTCAGGAGGAGCTTGTGGGCCATCTTGGGGTGTTTGATGGTGTTTGGTTGGAGGCACTTGGACGGAACTGCAGCTTGTGACATTGGCAGAGCTGGGTCAACTGTGCGGGGCTGCTCAGGCTTTTGTTTGTTAGAATGTTTCAAGTTGTTCCATTGCGGCCCTGAATGGACATTTGAGATTTGAGATTAAGCACGTTTGGCTTTGGAAACATGTCGATATCACTGATTGGCTCTTCTTTCCGTTGAAGCTTTGCAATCAGCTGTCCCAGTCCCAGTAGAAGAGTTGTCTTGGCTTGTGAAAGTGCAAGAGTTCCCATCTCAACTTCCACCCCGTCTCCCAAGCCCAACGCACCATGCACAGAGCTTCTAACCTCATTTCCACCTGGGTGGCTGAGCCACCCAGCTCCACCTAGCTCACCTGCTCACTTGGACTGTCCACTTGCTCACCATCCTCAACTCAGGCGCCCCACCGAGGCTTCTTCCAGTCTACCCCGCCCCCCCGAGGCTTCTTTCAGCAGGTGGCCGTGATGGCTTTCACCACCCCCGCGGCAGCCGCGTTCTCCAGCTCTACGCCTTTGACAGCCATGGATCTGGCGGCTGCACTGTTTTACCTGTGGCTCAGTTGAAAAGGAGGTTTCTGACTGTTTTGGCCTTAAGAGTGGACTGTATAAGATATACATATTTGGATTAATGTGGTTGTAATATATCTGTGTTATTTTTGGAACTGTATATGCATTACTACAATTATGATCAGTTACTGGTAGTGTATCGTTGGCCCTTTGTAGTGTGATCCAATAGAGATTTGTTTGGCCTCGGTTTGTAGGGGGTATTTCGGAAATCTACAAAACGGATCAAAGTATACAATTACTGTAACATCAAATTAACCATTTAGAGTTTCGTCATGGCAGGTGTTTGACGGGTTCTTGTGATGACTCGCACAGTTGTACCCTCGGACTCGAGGCTGTTGGTGCTGGGTGAGGCTGTGGCAGACGCCCAGATGTTCGCTTTCCAGACCGAGAAGTACCGCCGGAGAGCGGCTAAGGAGCGTTGCTTCTGATGACAGGGCCGGAAAATCAAGAAGATCATGAGTCATGAGGTTGATTTAGTTTTGGTGCAAGTCTAAAGTTGTTTCTAGTCCATGCTGTTCTCACTTCAAGTGGTGATTGCACAGATCTTAAACCCTTTCAGCCACTGTTTGCTGCTTTGGCACTTGCCTTTGTGGAAGAGCATGTCGGAAGAGTCATTTGCTAGCTGTCCCAAAGGGTTGACACAGCTTAAGGCACCACAGGAACGTTTCGAAAACAACACCTGTTGTTACTTTTGGGAGGAGGAGATGGTCGAGTATGGTGCTGGCTTCATCCAAAGTGGCCTTTGGGCCTGGTCACGTCATCCCAATTATTTCTGTGAGGTCACCATGTGGTGGGCTGCTTGGAACCGAGAGCACTTTCTATTTGTTGGTGTTGGGTGTTTGAGGAGTATTGGTCCGGTATGGTAATGGATTTGCCTCCTGATTTTTGGAGATCGAATCTTCAAAGCAGCTACCCTCCTTTCTGTATGTTTTCGGAGAGAGAGAGAGAGAGAGCCGCCTTGCCAACAATCGTGCTGAAGTCTTGAAATATTCATTTCGACCGATCGTGATTTCGACCGTGCGTAGGGGGACGTCCGTATACCTCAACCCATCGGCCATTGGTCATGTTGACCAAAGATCAGCAGGTGCGACACCTGTCAGGGGTCCAGCACTGGTCGACGGTGCAAGTGATGTCAACTGATTGTTCATCGTCCTTTTGCGAGTTGCTTTAGCAACTAGTTGTTTTACTTGTGGGCGAACTCCCATCCCTATTTATTCCCAAAGGGCTGGATGAACTGCCCATCACCATCATGAATCCCATTTGACTGAAGGAAGATGGACGTTCCACTGTTCGTGAGCTCAGAGGACCTTCCAAATCAGACTGACTAACCAGAACTGCTGACCAGTTGGTCATGCAGCTGGTTGGCAACTCTGAACATCTGAGGCTTTCTATCTCTTCAGTATCCCAGCCACAGGAGAAATGCTGAACTGGACCATTTGGGGTGCAGTTTTTCTCACGGGTCTCTTTCTTCTGCCTGGAGCATCCTTGGACATCACAGAGGCTTTGTCATCCAGCAAGTATCCGGAGTACAGAAACTACCAGATGCTTGCTTGCTGGTGTTGGATGTGGTTGTATTGTCATGTTGCTCAATGTGTAGGTTTTCCGCTTTGGGCTGTAATGATTCCCATGCAATTGCGCCTGCCCGGAGAATAATGCAATCCAAATCTTACGAACAAATGCTGGATTTTACCAGGACGTCATGCAGCGGGTGCTAAAAATGAACTGTGTGATATGACTAGGCACCCCATACTGAAGGATTGCTTCTCAGACATTCCATGGTTGGCCCCCGGATATTTCAAACCATTTGACTTGACCTCCTGGAGCCTTATGTGTGTTTTCTTGTTTTGAAGACATGTGGAACCAGCTGCCCTGAAGCTGATCCTGGTTCCATTGTATTTGTTGGATGAAGAACGGGCCATGCTAGGAAACGTGTCAGCAAGTACTTTCCGCTGCCGCCACGGAGCACTCCGACGCTGTCAAAGCCCTTGCGCTCAGATCCACGGTGACACCGGCCCGGTCGGAGTCGATCGATTGGATCCATCGAGGCAACGACTGCAGAGCGCAAGCGAACGACACGATATTGACATGTGGGGACCATTTTCGTGCAGCCTGCCATTCCGAGCTTTTCAGGGTTTGCACCTCCCGAGATCTCGCGAAGCATTGTGAAAAAACTGGTGCGACGGCATGTGTGATGTATGGAGCTTGCAGCCTGACTCAGAAGTGTATATATATAATGCCCTGGTTCGAAAATGTTTATCGACTGCCGGCCAGATCTGATTTTGCCGATGTAAACTTCCTCTATTGAGGGTGATCTGTCGTGTTCTCCATGTGTTTTGGGATGGTTATTGAACCAGTATTTTTTTTGCATGCCCTTAGTACCCAACAGTTTTGTCTTGCATCTGTCGAAACCACTTTTCTTCTAAGTGTTTCGTTGTGTGAACCTTCCACACCTCAAAAGAAAATGCTCCGTCCAATGGCCATTATTCAGGCCACCCATAATCATGTTAGGGGCTGAGGCTGGTGTCCCTGACCAGACGGAAGGCCATTCGAAGTCACTGGTGTGTAAATAGAAACTGAACCGTGTTGGAGGCTTACGTCTTCTGGGCTCAGAGCAACGTTTTTTCAGACTCAGCAGCGATATTCCATGGACAGCTCGATGTTCAATGCAACTACAAGGTCAATACTTGGCAGTGCCAGCATGTGCTGATGAGTTGGAGGTTGACTATGTAGTAAGTATTAGTAAGTGGTAGTCCTTGGGGAAAGACATAGAAGCAGCTTGGCTGCCTGACTCCGAATCTTTTCAGATGGCAAACCGGGCTGGGGTCATAAACTAAGCGTACAAATAAAGGGTTTGAACACTTGTGCGGCTGTGGAGTGAGTTCCCACCAGCCCGTTGCATGAGATGACATCGATATGTTCGCACATCAGCTGACAAACGTTCATGGGTTCACCATCCTATCATCCATCGATCAATCCAAAACACACAATGAACAACCGTGAAGAAGGAGAAGATGAGCAATAACAATAAATGACAACCGACAACATCTTAAGAATATTATCTCCCTGTGCATTACCTCTATGAATTGAGGAGGGTCAGCCCCATATAAAACATTTTAAGACCGGTACCCCCTAGGGGATCAGAACTTCATTTTATAGAGAATTGCGTGTGCATGCGCGTGCGTGAGCTTGATGTCAACCAACCACGCATATACGAGCGCCCCGAAGAAAACACACTATACACATCGAGTACAATAAGAAAATAGCAAGATGAAAAATGTTTAAAAGTGTTCTGATATTTTTTTGGGATTTGACTGAACCACCAGTAAGCAGTTCCTGGAAGACAGTAAAACTGTCTTCCAGTACCCCAGACCGGTGGTGGGTAGGGGAGCAAGCGACTCGCACAAGCATACCCGAGCCCACCACGAAAACAGAATGGGGCAGGTGGTTACAGTCAAATCCCTTTTTGTGTAGGTTTTAGCCACAGGTGTGGCAAGGGGTAGGGACCTTCACCCCAAGAGCAAACTGCTTCATCAATGAATTTTTGTCGGCGTTGACATCGCTGTTTGTTCGGCCACACTCCTCTCCAGTAAGCCGGGACACAGGGCCCAG